TCTGATGGGTAATAACCCAAGGATACCACCCGGTTGGTTCACCGAACAGCACGCGTCTTTTTCAGCCCGGGTTATTTGACCGGTTGGATGAGGAGACCAGATGCCAATACCCGAAGATTTACTTTCAAAGTGCACCTGGTGGGCCGGTCAGCCGCCTGACCGGTTGGATAATCAGAGACGTGCTTGACGTGCTTAGGATTATTATAAATACCCTTAAAAGCCTCATTTGTATGGCATGTTTGAATTAACCTACACGGCTTGTACTTGTAATAACTCCTATTATCATTAATAACAAATCGGGTTACAGGTGATTCCACCTACAACCCTTCCGATTACTCACACTTAATATTTGCGTGGTAATTTACACTATCAAATTGGCGCCACCCGTGGGACCTATTACAAAAAAGTCATGGCCAATAATCAGGAAACCGTGATCTCACAAATTTCTACTCCCGCTGAGAATGTCATTTCATTCCCGGGAGGAAATTCCCAACCGTCAAGCCAAGTTCCTACCCCCATCATCACCATTCCACCACCTATCCCATTCACTTCTCCCGTGAACCCTGTTCCCGTTTTTCCTTCAAATTTCCCCGGACCCCTTGATCCAATGTACAGCCAGGCTCTTCAGAATTTTGGACATTTCATGTCCATGTTCCAGCAGCCGGGAGGGTTTTCACTTTTCAATCCGGGATTGTATCCACAATCCTTGCCTCAAACTAACGTCATTCGCCCGATCGTTCCGACAAACCTGATCGGGGAGATGGATAAAGCTGGTCCATCCCGGTCTAGAAGGAGCCGGTCCCGTAGGCCACAGACAAAGGTGACCTCGGACGGGGATGTGCGTTCAGTGCACAGCAAGGACGAGGATTGGGACGTCCCCCAGGCGGTCAAGAAGTTGAAGGGAAAGGCAGTTCAGCCGGAAGGATCTAGGAGGTCGGCCTTTCAGAGACTTGGCCATGATGGCCGAAATCAGAACCGGTCAGCAAAAGAGCGGCTTGGGGTAGAAACCATTCCAGCTAGTGCCTTTAATCGTGCAGGGAGAGGAGCCGGACGACCTGGTCAGACTAGGCGAACGGAGCCATCCCCACGCGATGAGCCCCAGCACAGCCGGGCACCACGAGAGGAAGAAGCCGAAAGCCACCCCAGGCACACGACCCGTTCACATGTTGAGCAACCTCGGGGTCGTGTGGGCCGGGTCGAGGCACGTCTGGAGAAACTACAACGCCGGGTAGACCGAGAAGAAAAGAAGAAGATTCTGCTGAACGAATCTCCATTCACAGACCGGGTTCATGAAACACCATTTCCAAAGAAGGCGAAACTTGAAGTCCCGAAGTTCACCGGGAAGGAGGACCCGGAAATTCACGTCAAAACCCTCCATCAAAGTGGGCGGATGATGGGTCTTTCCGGGGATGAGAAATGTTTGCTTTTCTTTCAGACCCTCCGCGGCCGAGCCGCCGAGTGGTTTCATAACTTACCGGCCGGTGAAATCGATTCTTTCGATGAACTGGCTGAGGTGTTTCAAGAAAAGTTCAAAGAAAACTGTACCAAGAGGAAAAAGTTTACCTACTTGAGTACAGCCGGGCAGCGAGAGCACGAGGATCTGACAAAATTCCTCACCCGGTGGAAGGATGAGGTTGACAAGGTGGAGGAGATGGACGACAAGACAGCAATGTCCCTCCTTGTATCCGGGCTCCGGTCCGGAGAACTATACAAAGAATTCTGCAGGAGGCCTCCCCAGTCCTATCAAGAGGCCTATAACACGGCCTGGGACTATGCTGACGCTGAAGCCCAGGTGTCATCCAAGAGGGAAGCCGAGCAGGGCCACTCAAAGGGAAAAGTTTCCTTGAAAAAGGAAATTACATTGCCCGGTAAGATAAAAGCAGAAGTCATGGAGGTAAAACCGGTCAAAACAGAGAAGAAACTGACCGGCGAGAAACAATGGACGGAGAAGTATTGCTCCTTTCACAAAACTGATTCCCATAACA